GAGATCCATGAATCCCCCGTGAGCCCTCTTCGTTACCTCGCCTCTCTGGGTCTGTGGATTGTAGCATGGTTATCCTTTACTTTACATCTAATATCCACTTATAAGTGAATACATGCCATGTTTGTCTTTCAGGGTCTGGGTTACCTCACTCAGGATGACATTTTCCAGTTCCATCCATTCACCTGAAAGTTTCATGATCTTACTTTTTTAATAGCTGAGTACTCCACTGTGCAAATGTACCACTTTTTCTTTATCCATTCTTCAGTTGAGGGACATCTAGGTTGTTTCCAATTTCTGGCTATTATGAATAAAGCTGCTATAAACATAGTTGAGCAAGTGTCCATGTGGTAGGGTGGAACTTCCTTTGAGTATATGCCCAGGAACAATATAGTTGAGTCTTAAGATATATCGATGCCCAATTTTCTGACAAACTGCTTTCCAAAGCGGTTGTACAAGTTTGTATTCCTACAGCAACGGAGGAGTGTTCCTCTTGCTCCACATCCTTACCAGCATGAGCTGTCACTTGTGTTTTTTATCTTAGTCTGATTGGTGTAAGATCGATTCTCAAAGTCATTTTGATTTCCATTTTCCTGGTTTGCTAAGGATGTTAAACATTTTTTTTATTTGAGATTTATTGCATGGGAATCAGGATTCACTAGACTCAGTACAGGTTAAGTGAAGTTTATTCAAGGAGATTGCACTTACACAAGAGGTGGGTGATCACCACTTTTTCCAGCTCCTAGGATCCTCCCAGGCTGTCCCCTGTGACCTGACCAGCCACAAGAGAGCAAACCTGTTAGATACTAGAATAGCTACAGTGGCTTGCTTTTTGGGTCCATTTGTTTGGAAAACTTTTTTCTAATCCTTTACTCTGAGGTAATGTCTATCTTTGATGTTGAAGTGTGTTTCTTGTATGCAACAAAAAGATGGATCCTGTTTTGGGATCTATTCTGTTAACCCGTGTCTTTGTATTGGGGAATTGAGTCTATTGATATTAAGAGATATTAATGACCAATGATTGTTAATTCCTGTTATGTTGTTGTTGTTGGTAGTGGTGGTTGTGGTGGTAGTGGTGTGTGTGTGTGTGTGTGTGTGTGTGTGTATTTCTCTTCTTTTAGTTTTGCTTGTTTGAGATTATTTATTTCATGTGTTTTCAATGTTATGATTTAAGTGGCAGTGGATACCTTGGTGAATTAGAGCCAAGGAATGCCACAAAGTGATGCCATGCAGCAATCTCACTCGGGAGGTTTATTGGGGGAGGGTAGGTATTCAGAGGCTGTCTCTGAGTGAGGATGGAAGGGGAAAGAAAGCAGGAAGAAAAGGCTTTTTATAAGGGGGCATAGTGCATTCCCATAGGGAGATTATGTGTCTCGTGGAAACAGGGGAGATGGTGTATCTTGCTTTCTCCATCTATGGTGATTGAAAGTTTTGCTGGGTATAGTAATCTGGGGTGTCATCCCTGGTCTCTTAGAGTCTGCAAGACATCTGTGCAGGCCCTTCTGGCTTTTAGAGTCTGCACTGAGAGATGGAATGTAATTCTCAGAGGTCTGCATTTATATGTTACTTGGCCTCTTTCCCTTGCAGCTTTTAATGTTCTTTCCTTTTCTGCATATTTAGTGTTTTAATTTGTATGTGTTTTGGGGACTTGCTTTTCTGGTTCAATCTATTTTGGTAATCTGTAAGCGTTTTGTACCTTTATAGGCAGCTCCTTCTATAAGTTAGGAAAATTTTCTTCTATTATTTTGTTGAAAATATTTTCTGGACACTTGAGCTGAGAATTTTCCTTTGTTACTATTATTCCTATATTGAGTCTTGTTATAGTGTCCCAAATTTCCTGGATGTTTTGTGTCAGGAATTTTTTTAGATTCACATTTTCTTTGACCAATGTGTCAATTTCTTCTATTGTATCTAATATCTGAGATTCTGTCTTTCATCTCTTGTACTCTGTTGGTGATACTCATGTCTGTAGCTCCTATTCACTTACCTAGATTTTCCAACTGCAGGATTCTCTGTTTGTGTTTCCTTTATCTTTTTTTCTATTTCCTTTTTCAGATCTTATTCATTACCTTCACCTGTTTGATTTTTTTCTGGATGTCTTAAGGGATTTATTCACTTCCTCCCATTGTTTGTGTTTTCCTGGGTTTCTCTAAGGGATTTATTCACTTCCTCTTTAAGGATCTGTATCATCTTCATAAAGCTGGTTTTAAGGCCATTTCCTTGTGCTTCAGCTGTGTGGGAACATTCAGAGCTTGCTGTAGTAGAATAGCTGGGCTCTGGTGGTGACATGTTGTCCTGGCTATTGTTGATTGTGTTCTTAAGCTGGCATCTAGGCATCTGGGTTTGGAATGAACTTAAGTCTGGGTGCCCATTTCTGAGTTTCTTTTTGTTAGATGTGTGTTTTGCTCCTGGGTTTTTGTTTCCTCTTTGGTCTTCTAGTCTTTGTGGTCTGTATTTCTGGTGGCTCCTGTGACCTCTGGTCTAGAAGGGAATCTCCATCAGAGTTGGGGGCTGGAATTCTGGCAGTTATCCTGGCCTTTGGTCCAGCAAGGGGTCTGTGTTCTTCCGGCTAGCATGACCTCACTTCATGTCCCTCTGCTGTTTAGGAGCAGACAAAATGGTAGCTGTGGTTTGGGGAGAGCAGCAGCAGGAGGCAGTTGGGCAGTACTAACTTCCAAACATTTGTACCAGTGACAGGAACCTGGCTCTACCTGACTACCACAAGAAAACAAAGGAAGTAATGCTAGCAAGCCAGTGCTTTGGGCAAGTGACTGGGATTTCCCCCTCAGCACCTGTTTCCCTTCTGTCTTTATTTTCAGCCACTGCTCACTCAGAACTTACACTCTCCTTTTTACTAATCACAAAAAATATATAAAATTACATGATGAACAGGTTCTAAGTAAATACTCAATCTGGTTGAATATATAAAATTTCCTCTTTGTTAATTCTTTTCCTCCTTTTAAATTCTGAACATCTGTCCCCATCTTGTCTTTCACAGCCCTTGGAGTTGTAGAAGCCATGAGGCTTCCCTTAGTTGACACATGAGGCTGACATAGCAGAACCCAGATCCCAGGCATGTGACTGAGTCCTCCCAATGACTGCTCACTCTGCCTCCACTCCCTGTTACATGAAGCTGACAGACCTACCTGCCTTAAGCCACTGGTAACTAACAGCAGGACTCATTTGCTTTGACGACATTGAGAAATGGTTGCTGTTGAACTGGCATTGCCTGGAGCTAGGTTCTGGGTCATCTTCTTAAATGATACGCACTCTTCCTAAATGATCAGCCACTAAATCTGTTTCTAGACGTTTCTCTGAACTTAACAGAACTTTTAATGAATTCTCCAATAGACATCACCACTTAGGTGTCCCCCTGGCACCTCAACATGCCCAAAACAGAATGCATGGTCTCTTCCCAAACTTGCTCATTCACAACATACTCCTGCCCGTAAATGCCACTGTCATAGTTACAGTTTCAATTGCTATGAAGAGACACCATGGCCACAGCATCTTTTATAAAGGAAACCATTTCATTTGAGTGGCTTACAGTTTCAGAGGTTCAGTCCATTATCATCATGGGGGACCTGGTGGCAGGCAGGCAGACATGGTGCTGGAGAAGTGCTGAGAGCTCTTGGTCACACGGGTAACAGAAAGTAAGCTGTGTCACTGGCTGTAGCCTGAGCATAGGAGACCTCAAAACTCACCCCCATAATGACACGCTACCTCCAACAAAGCCTCACCTCCTGATAGTGCCATTCACTTTGTGGCCATTTTCTTTCAAGCCTCCACAGGCACCAACAGCAACTCAGTCGTTGGAGCTGGAGACCCAGGAGTCACAGAACCTGTCCTTCCTTCCCTCCTACATCCCAGCCTACCTTGTCCTGTAGTCATCCCAACTGCTGGCCCTCCAGGACCACATCTAGACTGATTAGGCCTCTGAGACATTCCTACACAGTTCCTTTGTCTCCAATCATGGCCCCTCCACCCGTTTCTCTGCCTTGCAGTCACCATGGTCGTTCTTATAGATAGAGTCAGAGTCCTTCTCTGGTTAAAGTTCTTGTTAACACAGGAGAGTGGAAGGAGGATTGAGTCTCTTAACTGTCGCCCATCAGCAGTGGTGGCACATGCCTTTAATCACAGCAGAGACAAGCGAATCTCTGTGAGTTAGAGGCTAGCCTGATCTACAGAGTTAGTTCCAGGAGAGCCAGGGCTACACAGAGAAACCCTGACTTGAAAAACAAAATCATGAAAGATTGTGCTTTTATTGAACTGGTTTCCAAATTTTTAGCTCTACTGAGCTCAGAACTGAGGTGTTGTCCCATGCCTAGCTACTGAGCCTGGCATCCAGACAGCACACAAAGTTTGTGAACACTGGCTTTTGTAAACTATGGGATGCGGGCCATCACTAGACCAGGAGTCAATCTGATGGAAGAATCAGCCTTAGTTTAGAAAAGAGAAGCAGAATAAAATAAGCAATACGGCATTGCAAACCTTCATTGTAAAATGTGTTGTTTAGTGAGTCGTGGGAAAGTAAAAATGAATTAGCAAGCACTCTTTTAGTTTGGTTTCGTCTGTTTTGTTTGGCAAGGTCTGCTTTGTTTAGAAAAACATCTGAAACTATGGGTAGCTGAAAAATGGACCATTCCTGTGGACTTCCACAGGTCTCAATGGCTAAGTGTCAAAGGACAGGCACATCCTCCTCAGAGTCCTAGAAGCTTGAGAAAACAGAGGACGTTAAAATCAGTTACCAAAGCCTGAGGACTGTGGCCATTCGTCACTTAGGTCCAGGGTGCTATATAAATTCTATTGATCTGGAAATGTATTTTCGGGTTCTTCATGTCTGATGAAGTAAAAACCTTGTATGAATCCCTGCTGTTGAGAACGGACACAGATTTGTGTCTAGGAAGATTTATCTGGCTGCTTCTCCAACTTTCTGTTAAGAACAGCATGCTTTGAGCCAATGAGGCCCCACCATTCTGTTTCCATAGTGATAAAGAAACAAACCCTCTGGGCCTCTCCCTAAAGCAAACCTTACAAGTCAGGCTCAAAAGACTGGGTAGAGGGTGACTTTCTCCTCAAGGGTGAGCTGTCTTCTAAGGGGAGCTCTGGGCATGTCTTCTCCCCCTTCTGAAAGCCATTGGCTGGGTGTGAAGATCTTAGGGTAGGTCTGTGGATGTCTACTTTGGCATCTCAACTGCTTGGGGGTCTGTGCTGAAGCCATGAGGTCTGAAACATCTTGATTTGAAGTGAAATGAATCCTAATTTTGTGCGGATGGGGGCCTTGCTTCCCTAAAACATTATGGTTTCTTTAAGACTCTCAACTTGGGAAGGAACCACAGGGGAACGAATCTTTGAAAGAATTGAGGTAAGATCATGGGAAGATTTTCCTGTGGCTTGTTTATAACCTGGAGCTCTGTGGCTCACAGTCAGCCCTGCAGGCCTGAGGGAAACACTGGGGAGAAAATACAGGAAAGGAAAAGAAGGGGAAACATACAAACACACACACACACACACACACACCACATACATACCACACACACACATACACACACCACACACACACATACACACACCACACACACATACACACACCACACTACATACCACACACACATATATACCAGACACACATACATGCCACACACACGTCACACATCATAAACACACACACACACACCAGTAAGTGCCTTTGCTATAAGGCTCTGTAAGTGCTCCACAGCACCTTGCTTGCCCAGGCTCCTCCCCTGACGCCCTCAGCCCTACCTCATGATTTGCGGACAGCCCACATCTGTTCTGATGGTTCATTGGCTTTGTAGTGCTGGTTTTAAATGCTTTGAATGTGGTCCCAGGGTATGCAAAGGAAACTTTTTTAAAAGAGCAAATTAATAAACATCAAGGCATTTCTAGAGTGAGGAAACGGAAACAAACATTTATCAAAACAAAGCTGGTCAAAATATAAATAAGAGCATTTGTAAAAAATTACAGTTGTACAGTTGTACAAGAGAAATTGTGACCAAGGGCGCTTACTGTAGCACGAATTCTAGTTGTTGTTATTAATAATAAAAACCTAGAGACAGATATTGAGGTTAAAGCTGAAGATCAGAGAAGCAAAGCGGTCAGTCACTAGAGAGTTCTCACCTCTACCAATGCTCAGACAGAAGAGGCGATTGCAGAACCTCAGACTGTCCCCGACTCATTGCTCCTCAGACTCCTGTCTCCTCCTGCCTTACATCCCTCTCTAGTGCTGGGATTAAAGGTTCGGGATCCAAAGTACTAAGATCTCCTTTGTGTGAGCTCTGTTTCTCTTTTAGTCTGGATCAATTTCATGTAACTCAGGGTGGCCTTAAACCCAAAGATATCTGTCTGCCTCTATCTCCTGAGTGCTGAGATTAAAGGTATGTGCCACCACTGACTGGCCTCTGTGGCTAGCTAGTGTAGCTACTGGGATTAAAGGTGTGTGTCTCTCCTGCCTGGCCTCTATAGCTAGTTAATGTGGCTGCTGGGATTAAAGGCGTGTGCCACCACTGTCTAGCCTCTGTGGCTAGCTAGTGTGGCTGACTTTGCACTCTGATCTTCAGGCAAGCTTTATTTATTTGATCATACGAAATATCACCACATGCTGTTTTCCCAGAGAACTCTAATTTGGTGCCAATCAACCACATATAGTGACTCCCAACAGCCAGTAACTCCAGCACTAGAATATCCAATGCTCTCTTTTGGTTTCTGTGGGTTCTTGAATGCTTGTGGTATACAACCACACAGACAACACATACACAAAATAAAAATAAATCATTTAATAAAATTTCAGTGATATGGAAATTGATCTCAGACTTACTTGACAGATTGTCCTAAATTTGCTTTAAAATAATTTGTTGGAGGAATAAAATGGGGTGGGGTATAGAAAAATAAAGTTAGTCACAATGACAATTGTTGAAACTATGGGATAGGTGAGTTTATTATGCTCTTTTTTTCCATTTGGCATACTTTTAAATTTCTTGACTGCAAAAAAAAACTGACATTTTTTAAATGATGGCATATTACATTTCTACATAATGGAAACTCATGATATTGTCTTAAAAATATATCCAGGATATAAATATAGTTTGCTTCTGTTTATAGGAAGCTTTGTAATTCTGTTTCTTTAGAATGCAGAAAATTCTGGAAGTCATTTATTCAAATATTTTCAGTGATCATCTTTGGATGTTATAGTTTTGATATTTTTTATTTCCTTAGTGTTTTCTGTTGTGGTTGTCTCTATAATGAACTGATTTCATCGCAATACACACACACACACACACACACACACACACACACAAATAAACCTATATTCCTTTTTTTTAAAATACCACTGTGGTTCAGGGCATGTGTCTCCGTGTGCAGGTCTGAGAGCACTCCTTGGTCTCATTACGTGTGCACAGCTATACAACCCAGTGTGAACTAGCATGGGCAGTATTGTTAAAGACAAGGCAATAGGCTCAGAAATTTCTCCAAGTCTAATGTGTAAAGTCAGGCCCACATGATTCCAAAGCATCCCCCAACTCTCATAACAGATGTCGTGAGGGAGACAAGACAAGTAACCCTGACATTCGGACCAGATTTTCTTTCTTTAATACAGAGTCTTTTTGTCTAAGTAAGGTGGCATAGGGCACAGTTTGGGGATGGGAACAGAGACCAATCTCGTGCTGAAATGACAAGGACACCATTCATCCTACTGGATGCTCATCAGATCTGTCACCTCCCTACCTGTCAGTGTCATCAGGAAGCATACCTCTTGGAGTCGGGGTCACCTGCCAGCTGTCTTCTGTGCAGAAATCGTGGTAGGGGCTTGTTTTCAGTTCCCTTCTGCAATTCAGGCAGGTGACCCGAATTGACAAACAGGAAGATATCTGTGCTCTAATTGGAGAAGTAGAGTTAATTTCCCAGGACGTTCTGTGAAGGATCTGCTAATGCGAACCTGAGGGGAACAGGCTGTCGGAAGCAAGCACTCTGCCATGTGGTAGCTCTGCGACGTCTCTGTATGTCACCTGTAAGCAGGGACTCTATCCTCGAACTACAGTGATAACTCAATTGTGGGAGATGTTTAATTGCTTTCTGGTCAAGTGGCAGCCTGTGAGGTATCACTCCACAGTGTGAGCCTGCATCGGCTCAACCTCCACCCGTGTCCCTCAGGCTGCCCCTTGATCTCTCCCAATCTCTGTTTGCCTTGATTGTGAGTAGTTTAACTCTCTGTGGTTGTTTCTCATCTCAGCAAGAGCCCCTGACCTAGCAACCAAGACTGCATCTGACCCGACCATGTACCCCAATCCTCTCATCTACTGCACCTGCTTGGACCCCTGGAACTTGGGGCCACGGAAGCTAATCAAGACCCCTCATCCACTTCCAAAGACCTCCACAGGGAAGCCTAAGTAAGAATAAACTGGGTTGGGCTAGGTACAGGAAGTGACTGTTTCTTTTGTAGTACTCTTTGCCTTATAAGAGTCCCCAGCTGAGAGCTTGTCACAAATTCCCCCCCCCAACAGGAAGCCCTGCTTTCCTGCCTTGCCAACCAGCCTGGAGGCTGCCCTGGTGTTGCAGGCCTGTCTTACTCAACGTTTCAATAAAGAGGGCTTGACTCTGCAACTTTGCAGTTTGTGTGTGTGTGTGTGTATGTGTGTGTGTGTGTGTGTGTGTGTATGTGTGTGTGTGTGTGTGTGTGTGTATGTGTATGTGTGATACCCAAACAGAGCTTTGGTGGCAGCTGTACCTCCTCAGGAACAATGGCTTTGGGGCTTGCCCTGACAACCATAGGAGTTCTTTTTTTTTAATTTGTTTTTCATTTTTACATAACAAGCCCAGTTCTCCCTCCCTCCCTTTCTCCCACCCCACCCCCCTGCCTCTGCCAACCAGGAGTTCTTGGAGACAGTGGAGAAGTACAGGTAGGAGAGCCTTGGACCCGAGGTCTTCAAGGTCTCAAATCTTCACGATCCTAGTTGTTACATCATACTTTTCAATTTGGAGTCACCGTGAATATGCCCTTATTGGGGAGGGTTGAGACATACTTTTTAATTTCCAGTGTTTATTTATTTATTACTTTCAGGCAAGCTCTTCCTACACCAGTTTCAAGAGAACGCAACTACCTCCTGTCCCAACCAATAAAACCTGTTGTTTCCCCAAAGTAAGTACCTTTAAAAAGTTCCATGAGGCAATGGATAAAATAATCTACCACCACACAAGGAATGGACTCACCCTGAGAGCTCCAGAGAATATCTCTGCCCGCATCCATTTTGGATTCCTCCATCACTGAGGCCCTGTACCAGCAGATTCACCAGCTACCCAGGGGTCACACACACACACACACACACACACACACACACACACACACACACACACGACCTCCACATCCATGCTGACTTGAGCTAATTTGCTACCAGGGACGTCAAAAATTTGCCAGAATCCATCGTTTTTTCCCCAAACCAAATCCATGGTGATTTCAGCCCAAAAAACGTGAAGAAAGCAATGAATGGCAGAAAGCATAGCCCCACAGAGAGGTTGAGTCCCCATCCCTGGAGAGTGGGAAGACGGAGCAGTGGGGCAGAGGGCGGATGATATCAGGTAGCTTACCTGAGATGTAGACACTCCCTCACTTGTATTCTCCACGTGGGGCGAATGCAATTATGAAAAAGAATGTCAGTCAGAGAGACATGACCACTGTGAAAGATGACCACTAGGGACACAGAAGCCTCTAGAAGCTGGCAAAGGCAAGGATTCATTTCTCCCTGGGTGCTCCACGGTATAGCCCCACCCACATCCGTTTCGGACTTCCCCCTCATTGAGGCTGTATGCCAACATGTTCCCCAGCTACCCAGGGTTCTAGAAGGTCAAGTGACTGACCTAGGAGAACAAAGGCCAGTCAGGGATCATCCCCTGAGCTCCGCCTCTCAGCTGCTCCTGCTCCACCGCTTTCTGAGCACCTTTCTCTTGCAGAGACAAAGCCCAGACAGGAAAACCAGAGGAGAGCAGCAAACTCCTCTCTGTGAGTAGAAGTGGGGAAAGCGTCGGAAGAGCATTTACCTAGCACCTGCTGTGTGCAAGCATGGGGTTTTTTTTACACACTCTTAACAAAGTCTGGGAGCAATCCTCGTAGCATTAATGATGCACACTTTAAGTAGTCAGTAAGTGGCCACACTAACTAACCCCAGCTATTCTCCCCTGCTTTGTGTAGGTGGGGGTGGGGAGGGATAGATGGTGGCCATTCAGGTTACAACTCATGCTCCAGTACAGGAAGCCCTCTGTCGCACAGGGATGCCACAGATCCCGAGACAGGGCCTTGGAACATGAGTCTCCATGGCTCTGACATAGGTGTGAGACCAGGTTGTATCTATGTTTTAGAAAAAGCACTTTCTCGTAGGACATTCTGACCACATTTTATTTTATCATTTCACCCATTCCTCCCCTTCCTAAGCAAGGACCACGAGGTCCTCTAAAGAGCGTTAATGGTCAGGAACAAAGTAAGGGAAGAGAAGCAAATCACCCTGTTAGGTGGAAAGGCCACCAACACTGGGGACTCAAGAGTGAAAGCAGAGCCCACAGTAGGTGGAGGACTCTCAGCTCCTTAAGCTCCATCCTAAGATTCCAAGCGCAACATGCTGGGCCCTTGGGCCATGATGGGTCAGGCTTAAGGGAAGGTGAGGCAGAGATGCCAGTTAGGAGATGGCCACAATGGCCTGGGTCACTTGCGGTGCTGCAGAGTGGTCTGCACCTGTCTAGAAGCTATGATTGTATCCACGTTAGCCAATGACTCTGCCAGCTTTCTGTCTTGGAAGCTAATGAAGGCAGGAGAATTAACTCACTGCATTTGTCTGAACCCATGCTGATCATCTCCTTGCACGTTATATTCTTGTTTTTGCTCGTTACAAAAGCCCTTTGAAGACGTTATTATCACCATTTTTCTGAAGAGGAAACTGAGTCACAGAGATGTGAAATAGCCCCAGGGCTTGCCCAATTCCAAAAGGGGAGCAGTTCCCACAATGCTCAGCTACTGTCCCCACGGAGGATCAGGAGGAAGAACAGAGTGGGGTCGATTGATCAGTTGGCACTGGGAGTTTAGATGGTCCCTAGAGGGTGGGCCAGTGAGTGAGTGGATTGGATCTGAGAGATTTGAGGGTAGTGTCACAGAAGGATCTCAGGCCCCAGAATCTCTGCACAGTGTCCCTATGTAGAAGATGTGAGGAAGCCCACACTAGGTGGGGGACTCTCAGCCCCTCCAGGCTCACAATTTCTCTTTGCCTTCTGCCTTGAGACCCAGGAAGTGATTGACGTGTCACCTGGCTATAAACTCATTCGAAATCGAGAACAGATTTCGGTCACCTTGGGAGACGAGATGTTCAATAGGAAAAAGCACACGGAATTGGATGTTTTGAACAAAATCAAGTTTTCCAGGTAAAGTCTTTGGATCAACACCAGTTTCTCAGAGCTGGCTCTGCCCAGCTAGTCCACCATCCTGGTTTCAGTAAATGCCTGCTATCCATGTCCAGGTAACAGGTCCCTGCCCAGAAACAGCTCAGCTAGCATGACTTACACTAAAGAGGAAAGTACTCCTTCCAGGAAGGGACAGGTGAAATATTCCAAGATAGTCTGGATTCTGAGTGTAGGGATAGACCAAAGCCAGTTTCTGGAAGACAGGAGTATGCATTTCTTTTTCCACGATAAGTAATCCAAAAATGCCCGTGACTCTGGGAGATGCAGTTTGGAAAGTTCCAGCCTGATCCATCCTGTTGAGCCCCCGCCATTGCTCTTTCTCTGAAACCTCGCGTCTTTTGCTACCATCTGATGTCACTCTCACGCTCCTACCCGTACCTTTCAGGTCTACCTCCTAGACCTCTCATTCACACCTTCTGTTTCTCCACCGTCCTACCTGAATCCAGGCCTCCCACTCCTCACCGTGTTACCAGACGGCTCTCCCAGTGTCTCCTCCTTCCAGCTTCACCCTGCTGTCAGAACTACTGTTCTGAAGACACAGTGGCACACACCCTGAATACCAGTGCTGTGTAGAGAGGGGGTTGTGGGGGTGTGGCCAGGTAGATCCCTGTTAGTGGGAGACCAGCCTGATCTACATAACACGTTCTGGGACAGCCAGGGCTGTGTAGAGAGAGACCCTATATCAAAAACAAAAAGCAAACAAGAAAAGGAGCTATTGTTCCAAAGGATCTGGGGAGATGTTTAAGTGATCAAGTTAGTTCTGGTCTCTAGCGTCCATGGAAGAAGCCAGGCATGGTGACACACGCCCATGATCCTAACCCTGAAAGACAGGAGGAGAATCCCCAGGGCTCACTGGCCAGCTGAACTAGTTGAAACATGAGCTATAGGTTCAGTAAGAAAGCCTGTCTCATAAAAGAATGTGGAAAGCAACAGAGGAAGACACTTAACATGAAACCCTGGCCTCCATGTGCACCCATGTGTATGTGCAGGAACACACTCAAACATACCATAAACACACACAGACACCCATCTGTTGCTACATAGAAAGGCAACATCTGAATTGTTGGCAGCTATTCCCTCTGGGAAGGGTTGGGGATGCCATGGAGGCCACTGAGTTACTGACCTCAGCTGGCTCAGACAAGCCAGTGTCATATCCCCAGCTTCCCATTCAGTCAGGGGCGGGGGCACGGGGAGGAGATTCAGCCTCTATTTCCTCTTCCCTGCTCAACCAGCCTCCCTCTGCAGGGAGACAATGGGTCAGATGCCCACAGTCTAAGTGGTATCCATAGCAACCTCCTGGTCTCATAGGAAGCTGTCCTCATGTGCAGCAGAATGAAGCCCATCGTGTTCATTTGGTTCCCAGCGAAAGCTGTGTGTGTTGCTCACAGAGAAGGGCGTGCTTCACAGACAAAGATTTGCTCCTTTCCAGTTCTTCCCCCAGCTCCCTCCTCTTCCACAACCTTTCTCTTGTTTACGCACCTGACATCGCCCCTGTGCCAAGAGAGGAATGCATGACACCAAGAAAATGAAACTTCTTGAGAACTCCCTCCCTGCTCCACTGCAGGGTCCCATGCCTCCCACACACACACGGGGGGGGCGGGGGTGGACCACTCAGAGAAACCCTGTCTTGGAAAAAAAATGGAAATACTATGTGGCTGTGTGACCCAGGCTGGACACAGATTCACTGTCCTCCTGTCCTTAGGTGCAGACGTGACAGGTAACTCACACATTTCCTCATTTATGCCTCTTCTTGGTCCCATCCATGGGCATTCCTTGTCTCCAGCTGACTCTCAGAATGAGTCTTCCCGGGCTTCCCCATTTCCTAATCCTCTGCATTCTCCCTCTTGTGCTCAACTAGGGACAACCAAAGTCCGGTGAGTGTCCGCCACACTCTCATTTCTCTTCTGCTCGACAGGACACCACACTGCCCTGAGCACTTCCCCTGAAGGGCCGGACACAAGGTCCAACCACCCTGCTGTGAAATGCCTTATTCAGGTCTAGCCTCCACCGCTGCATTCCCACGCCATTGTGGCAGAGCAGGCACAAAGCAGACCCGAGTTAGGCAGCCTGGGGCCTGGCTGGCAAGAATAACCATCTCTGGTAGTGACAGAAGTGTTTGTCCCACAGGACTGATATCATTTCTGACCTTGAGGAGCAGATCTCCGAGCTGACAGCTATAATAGAACAAATGAACAGAGACCACCAGTCTGCCCAGAAACTGGTGAGTGATCCTTGCAGTAACCACACCCTCAGAACTAATACTTTCAGAGCATCTGTGAGCCAGGCAAACACGCCAGGCACTTTGCAGTAATGAGCCATGCTATCCAGATGCAGGACTCTGCAAAGAGGATTGTGCACCGAGCGATATTTCTCTGCCTGCATCCTCATCCATAACTGTAAACTGTAGCTCAAAGACATTCTGTTCCAGAGGTTCTCCAGGTGTCTCTGGGTATGCGGTAGCACTGTCTTCTTCACACAGGGGTCACTGATTACTTCCCCTCTGGCCTTTGCCATGACATACAAGCATCAAAGGTCACCAGACTATTGCTAATGACCCCGGCACAGAGGATGTCTCTGGTGTCTTGCAAAAGCTTCCAGGAAGCCACCCCCATCCCCACCAGTCTCTATTACTATTAAGCTCTCGTTGCCCATTCTTCAGAAGCAGCTGGAGTCCTTTCATAGTCCAGATGTGGTTTTTATTTTTAAACAGGTGACATTTTTAACATTTTGGTCATTGGCTCAGACGGTGTACTTGGTGACCAGAGCAGGAATGACAGACCACAGCCATGCTCAGAACATGCCTCCCCCTGAGGCTCCACCTCCCTGAGGCTCCCCGAGGCTCCGCCTCCCCGGAGCCCTGCCTCCCGAGGCCCCGCCTCCCCATAGCAGCTTCTCAAGCTGATTTTTCCCAGGCCATCCACATCTTACAGTGAGCTGCCTCATGACCAGGCTGAGACCTTTGCCACCTCTGATTTGTTACCTTGTTACCCTGCCAATTTGATTCCTTCTTCAAAAGGGAATCTGAGGTTTGAGAAACTTACATCATCTGCGTAAGGTGGTAGGGCTTCGGCAAATTCACGTTTGACTCCCGGCACAAGCCCTGTGGAAGGCAGCTTTAGAGACTGTCCTTACTGGGGGAGGGGGCTTGAAAATATTCCTACTGTGACATCCCATTAGTAGTGTGACCTTTGAAAGGTCTCAGTGTGGCATTCAGGATGACAATGAGATGGTAGTTAGGGATAAGATGTTTTTGGAAGGACAGACAGACAACAGCAGACAGAGACTGAGGAGTTTGCACCCCATTGCCTCAGCGCACTGGGGCGCAGAAGAGCCTGACTGTCCCACAGTGTGGAGGAGACAGTTCTCTTCAAAGGAGCCTGGCTCCCCAGCGCGGGGAGGGGGCGAGCAAAGAGGACAGTGAGGAGGGAATTTGTGGCCACAGGTAACCCTGTAATGCGTCTGCACTCTGACGGCTGGTTCTTTTTGACTCTTCCAGCCAAGTCCGTTGCTAAATAAGTGATCCCCAAGTGTGAAAGAATCCAAAGGAAGCAGACCCAGTGACAAAGCAAGTGAAAGAGATGGTGCCCGGGAGAGATGAGGCTGGCATCGCCTCTGTAGGGAGGGGTTTTAGAGACGTAGATCAGAGCCCACGGGAGTCCTGCAGGCGATGTTGCTAACACTGGCCCCATTTCCAGCTCTCCAACGAGATGGATCTCCGCTGCACTGAGATGAAACAGAAGTTTGAAAATGAGATCAGGTAGGCTTCCTGGCAAAGGCCCCTGTGCAAAGCCGCTGCAGGATTCCAGTTCCCCGGGGGCTCCCATGGTGCCAAGGCAGCTGGCTATGGTGTGTGAGAGGTCACCCTGCTCTCTGAGGATGAAACAGTTTATGTTTTGTGTTGCTGCTTTTGCATAATTCATCCTTTTCGTTTCCATTGTAGTATTTCTTTTGTTCCGTCGAAGAAAAGCCATTTTTTTTTGTTTCCCACGAAGCCTTGTCATACATGGTTTGTTGTGAGCACATTCTTCCTTTTCTCCCTCCTCTCCCTTCCTCTTCCCTTCCTCCCCCTCCTTCCCTCTACTGCCCCCTCCCCCTCTTAGCTCAGAGCCTGGGCAACAAAGAGAGAAATGGGGGAGGAGGAACAGAGAAAGTCCACCGGAGTGAAAAGGAAGTGTGCTGTCTGTGTGGGGAGAATCTTGAAGCCATGGAGGCTTCCCGGTGGAGAGACAGCACCTCTCACTGCCCCATCCGCAGTCACTTATTTATAATTACTTCTGATTGTTTTTTTTAGAACATTTTTCGGTTCTTGACAAGAAAGTCTGAACTCCCATGCTCATTGCACACGGCACAATTGCCTCATTACAGAACCAGCCTATGTTCTGTCAACAGATGAGATTTTAAAAGGCTGTCTATTCTGCGTCCAAAGAGAAGGAAATCCTCTCAATTGTGATGACACGAATGGAAGGGAAGGACAAAGGCAGATTAATGTGTTTTCACTTATATTTGAAGTCTAACCCTCACAGAAAACAACACAAATAAGTAGTCACTTAGGCTAGCCCATGAGAGGTGATGATCAAAGGGTACAAAATTTGGGACAGTGTTTCCAAGGCCTAATGACCTGGATTGAATCTCGAAGACCCACATGGTAGAGGGAGAAGACAGAGCCCTGAAGTTATCTCCTACCCTCCATGTATGCACGTACAGTGCACACACGCTCACACACACGCTCATACACACGCACCATATACACTAAATAAATAAATGTAATAAAAGTTTCCTAAGGTGTATAAAAATTCCAGACAGGAGAAGTGTTTCTCAAAGAGTTTTGTGGGCCTTAGAATAGCAATAACATTCTGCTCTTCATTGTTTAACTGCACAAGAGTAAAATTTAAGGCTGGAGAGATGGCTCCGTGGTTAAGAGCACACATTGATTTTGCAGAGGACCTGAGTTTGGTTCCCAGCATTGGTGTGGTGGCTCACAGCTGTCACTCCAGTTCGAGGGGATCCAACACCTGGCTTCTACAGGCCCTACTCTCACACATGCAAACCCACACACAGACACAAGCACACACAAACAAAATTAAGAATCACCAAACTTTTTTTAAAAAGAAAAAAGTGAATTTCAAATATCCTCACCAAAAAAATAAAAGTTGGTTGAGTTGATGGCTGTGTCAACTAGAGTGATTTAATTATTTAATTATTACACATTGTATTCACAAATTAGAGCAGCATGTTTTACGCCACAAGTATCTGGAATATAAATCATCATTTATAGCAAAACAGAAATCCTTGTAGAGATAGCACCCCTATGCATTTTACATGTGCATTGATTATTTTTCATTGTTTTTAACAGTCTAAAGTTTAGAGAAAAATTACTGGAAAGGTACAGAGTGCCCACACTCCACCCCATGCCTCATTCTCAGTGTCCCTGAAAGATGTTACATTTGTCACAACTGACGAACCTGCACTGACACTTGATTGTCACCTGCTTGGGGGATCGCTCCTGGTGCAGAACATTCTTTGTGTTCGGGGTGAGAGGTAATGTGTGTGGACGGGTATCAGCTGTGAGAGTATTGTCCATAGTGGTTTTGCTATCTTGATATGCTCCGCCTGCTGACCCCTCCCCAGGTAATACCTAGAAACCACTGATTGTTTTATTGTCTCCACAGTTTTTCCTTGTTTAATGTTGGAATAATATAGCATGTGGCCTTGGCAGATAGCCTGTTTCCTTAGTGATATATGTCTGTCGCTTCCATCTGATTTATGGCGTGGAGGCTCTCCCTTTGATATTCAAACACTATCAGCATATGAATCCTGGCATGGGTCTGGACCTGGGGTGTTCTACACTTACCCTGAGGGCTTCTATAAGTGAGTGTAAGCAGCGACGGCTAACTGCTGAGGGGAGGCCTAAGCCCTGGCCCAAGCTCTATTCAAAGCAGTGACTGTAGGAAGTGTATCACTGTGGACAGAAGCCAGGAGAATGCTCCAGAAAGTGAGGGCCCCACCTCAGGGAGGATTTGTGTGTGTGTGTGTGTGTGTGTGTGTGTGTGTGTGTGTGTGTGTGTGTGTGTGTGTTTGGTCACAGTGTTCCTGTGGATCATAGAAGACCATTTTTCTGAAATCAGTACTTTCCTCCCACCATGGCTTCCGTGGAAAGCACCTTTAGCTGCTGAGCCAGCTTGCTGACTCTGAACTTTTCTCCGATTGTCCCACAGGGATCTCAAAAAGGCTCACAAAGAGGAGCTTGAGAAGTTAGAGAGCAGCTATAAAGACATGCTGAAGGTGGAGAAGGCTGCTGCCCAGGAGAAACTAGGTAAAGCCTAGGAAAGGCGGACAGTCCGGTCCCATGGCCACGGAGTGGCACAGCCGCACAGCTAAGAGTCCCTTTATGAGGCTCAGGGGGACGAGACTGACTAACAGTGACACTGGAAAGGGGGGCTATGTCCTTGCTTTTTTCTGAAAAATCCGCTTTTATCTGTGATGTGAGAATGTGAAATATTTTAAGTGCATTTTAAAGTTCTAAAATTACAGTATCATTATGATTTCTCTAGGTTTTCTCACATGTAAAATGTCAGTGTTTTATTACATCCTAGTTGACATGTTGTGATTGCAAGACTCTGTAGCACATAGGGCTGTGCTGAGCGGATCTCACTGCTTACACCGTCCTTGGGAAGAGCAGTGTGTGCATCCTTCAGATACTGGGTTTATTGAGTAATGCCCACATAAAGAAGGAGGAACTCTACCCTCTAGAGTCTATAGTCCTTTATTTTAAGTTAGTGTCTTATTTATACTTTGCTTGTTTTCCAATTTCCTAAAGAGAATATGTGGTTTTCAGAACCATCGTAAAGGGAGAAATGTTACTAAAAGGAGAAGCAGGTGCATGCTGGGAGGTGTTGTTCCTCCTTCCCACAGACAAGGATTTATTCCCGAGGGCTCTTACTAGAATGGCTGAGCAGAGCATGTCAGTTTCGATATCTCTGAGAAGCATATGTGTCAAGGAGCACCGGGCTCCCCTCCAGATGCTCTGCATCAGTTGGCTTAGGCAGGGATTTTACGAAGTTTCCAGAGTGACTGGGGAGTCACAGGACGATTTCCTCACCTGGGGAGGATGTGGTGCCGAGTAGTTCACATGAGATTTGGAAAGTGTGTGTGTCAGAAATAGTGATGCCCTTGTGTTCTTTCCATCCAGAGGAGATGAGCAAAGAATACAAGTATCTGAAGAATATGTTTCACATGTATCAGGTGAGATTCAGAGCTGTCTGGTGGATTCTGGGAGGATGAGAAGCAAGGCTCATTTCTGTCTGACAACTCGGGGATGCATGTACCTGTGTAGAGATTCTAACATCTTTCCGCCACAGTGTCACTACTGTACCCAGCAGGAAGCATGAGCCAGAGGCCTCCATGCTTGACAGACCAGCCGTGCAAATCTGAAGAGGCCTACTGAAAAAGCTGTGGTCATCAAAGTAATAGCGGTTGACTGTTTTTCAAAGAGGAAGTGGGGAGGGGAGAAGGGCCAGAGAGATAGCTTAGCAGTTAAGAGCACTGACTGCTCTTCCAGAGGACCCGGGTTCAGTTCCCAGTTCCTACACGGTATCTCAAAACCATCTGTAACTGCAGTTCCAGGGGATCCAATGCCCTCCCTCTTGTGTCTTCCTCAGGTACCGGGCACTCACAGTGCATAGACATAGGTGCAGGCAAAACACTTATCTGCATACAACAAGTAAATGTCTCCCTATGGAAATAACCAACAACAGCAACACCAAAAAGAAAGAACTGTCACTCACCAGAGGTGACCCCTGCAAATACTGCACTTTGCTTTAACTTTCACTGAGGCTATGGTATAGCGAATCTATGTACATTTTTATATCTTCTTTTCACAGGGAACATTAGTGCCTTTCCCTCCTTTTTCATGACCGACATCCTAATGAACGTGCCTTCGGGATCTCACTGTCCCCTTCCTGTTGATCATGTGCTGTTTCGATCACTTGCCGTAACGGCAAATAGCACTTTGAACACAGTTGATCCTAGCAGTGGAGTGCTAGTCATGCTAGTCATGCTAGTCAAAGGAATGAACAGACTTAAGGCCTTTCACGGATTTGGCCACATTGCCATCCAAAAAGTCTGTCACATTCTACATTCCTTGAACTCAGTGCTAGAGTTATTTCAGAACATAGCCTGTTCAAAAAGCCTGAACCAGATGGCTTTTTGTCCACTTGACACAAGCTGGACTCATCTGTGAGGAGGGAGCCTCATTTGAGAAACTGCCTCCATCGCCTGTGGACAAGCCTGTGGGGCATTTTCTTGGTTAATAACTCTTGTGGAAGAGCCCAGCCCACTGTGGGTGGGGCCACCTCTGGACAGGTGGACCTGGGGTGTGTGGAGAAGCATGCTGGGCAAGCCATGTGAGCCAGCCAGTAAGCAGCATCCTCCACGGTCTTTGCATCAGTCCCTGCCTTGAGATCCTGCCCTGACTTCACTCAGTGATAGCGTGTAACGTGAGAGCCAAATAAACCCTCTCCTGCCCAAGTTGCTTTTGATCAGACTGTTATCACAGCAATGGAAAACAAAATAGGACAATTCCCAGACTTGATAAAGTCCCAGAGTTGGAGCTCTCTTACAGAGAGATGCAGAATCAGATGTGATCTCTGATACAGAGAGCCTTACCTGTCTTCAAAGGAAGTCGAGATCCAGCTTGGCAAATGCTGTTCGTAGATAGCCCCTTGACCCTTGGCTTATCCCAGCTCTCCCCTGAGCTTAGCTGGAATTGTTTTTAAGTATCACCCACATAGGGTCCCCTTGGTTCCTTGGGGACGCCCAGTTGAAGGAGAACAAGGCCCCATTGCTATGCTGAGTACCCAAGGGTGCAGTCATAGCATCTGCAGCCCCCCCCATGTTATAGCTCTTTTCAAAGTGCCTCTGTGTCCCCACAGGATAGCATTTATGACGAAATGGAAGATAAGTGGTCAAAGCGGAAGGCAGAATGGGAGAAGGATGAGAAGCTGGAGCGAGAAAAGATCCTGCTACAACAAAGTGAGTAACACAGACGCTACGGCCTTTTCCAGCCACGACGAGAGTATCAAACACAAAAACAAAACCTGCTGTCAGTCTTGACCTTGACTTGAGGGAAGGGGCCTTGGATTTACCCAGGGCAAACAGCCAGATGATGAACTTTCTGAATGCACAGTGCCTTGTGTTGCTAAGAAACAAAGAAGGACACTGATGGCAAGGCTTGTTTTGTTGTTGTTGTTGTTTAGTTGGCTTTTTTTTTCAGTTTCAGACACATGAATTAAGGGATCCAAAACTTGCATGTTCAACCATCATGGGCTGGAACAAATAGGAACTGAGACCTATAAAGAATGTAGAATCTAAAATTCAAGGACGAATCCTAGAATTAGAATTTAAATTGTTCAGTTGAGGGGGAGAACGGGGAGGAAGCTCCAGACAACACAAGTCTATTATACTGACAGCCTCCGTGACCCTCACATGCCCCACAATAGAAGCCATGATTGGTAAGTATTTTCAATATTTCTAACACTTGGCTAGAACTTAGATCAAAATGCCGCACAGATGCAGGTCTCACTGAGCTTCCTAGGAAAGGAAAGAGGAAAGTGTAGAAATTGTTCCTGGGTCAAGAGGAATAATTGAGACAGGTGTGAGCCTTCTACACACCTATTCCACAGTCTATGTCAACTCCATTCATTGTACCTTTATTGGTTAAAATCCAATTAATCTCTTAAATGCAAAGGTTTCTGGGAAAGTCAGCTCCCCTAATAAGGACTGTCCAGGCTTAGCAACAACATGATGCTGGAATTGAGATTGGAACGAGATATGGAGCTACATCTGTTTAGGGCTTTTCCTGGGATTCTGCATCACCAGAAAAGCCCCACACTACAAAAAAAAAACAAAAAAACAAAAAAAAAAAACAACTAAGTCAAGGTGCAAACCCATTTAGCTTTACATCAAGTAGCCCATTGGAGTTACCTGGCCAGCCAAGAGACACCCATCGTCCCTGCAGCTGGATACTGAGGGAATTCGTGTTTGCTCTTCCCTTCCTCCAGTTTGGTACCGGGGCTCTGCTGCCAGAACTTCCAGCCCTGGGTACGATGAACCTACCTCTGCCCCAGGGTTGGGTGTGGACTTTCATTATGAACAATCTGGCTAACCAAGAACTTTAAAGAAGAAAATACCCCAGAATAAGCACACTCATTGCTCCAGCAGGGGAGACAGAGCAACGAGCAGCAGCAAGAAACTAAACTGCACACTAAAGAACACTGCCGATGAATCCCATGTGGCCACTATCCCTGCACACAGGAGGGTGCTCACCCTGCCCCAAGCATCTCCCCAGCTGAGCATCTCCCCAGCTGAGCATCTCCCCAGCTGAGCATCTCCCCAGCTGAGGGTCAGAGCATGCAGCCCTGGCTGAAAGGTCCTTAGGTTGAGTCAAGTCTGGAACTGCTACTGATTTCAGCTATTCTGGCTTTCTCTCTGGCCCAGCTTTCCCCATGTTTATACTCAAACCTGCTTTGCTCTCTCCTCCACAGAACATAGGATAACAAAAAAGTTTGAGTTAGAGTCAGAAGAAGAAAAGAAGAAAATGAATGAATCCTTCAGTGCTGTCTTTGAGAACTTCAATCGAGAGAAAGAGGTACAGGATGCTCACTGGTTGGGAGTGTGGTCCAGGTGGTGTAGCTGATTCTGCTGGGCCTACATGCTTAGGTGCCCTCCTCCCCAAATAACCTGCTCCTCCTTGTTCAACTTTCCTGGAAATATACGCAAAAATAATACTGTTCTAGTTTGCTTTTGGTTACTGTGATAAACCATGACCAAAAACAATATGAAGGAAAAGGATTTATTTCATCTTTCAGGTTGAAGTCCATCATCAACTTCTCATGCAGGAAATCAAGGCAGGAATTTGAAGCAGAAACCACCGAGGAGCACTGCTTACTGGCTTGCTCTTTCTTATATAGCCCAGACCCACCTGCCTAGGGATGTTACCACCCACAGTAGACTGGGCTGTTCTATATCAATTGGCTTCTACACCAATTGGCAGTCAAGGAAATGCCCCATAGGCATGCCCATCAGCCAATCTGATGAGACAGTCCCCAAACTGAAATCCTCTCAAGTTACTCTGGGCTTTATCAAGTTCACAGCTAAAGTAAAGTAGGAGAATGATAATCTTGGGGTCCTTTGTAGCCAGGTACTCTTTTTCTTTTTCTTTTTTATTTAAGTTAGAAACAATCTTGTTTCACATGTCAATACCAGCTCCCTCTCCCTCCCCTCTTCCCCTGACCCCCACCAAGCACCGCTCCCCCACCAAGCACCCCAGTCTCCCACCCAGTCACCACTCCCCAGGGAGGGTGAGGCCTTCCATGGTGGATCTTCAGAGTCTTTCATTTCATCCAGGGCAGGGCCTAGGCCTTCCCCCAAGAGTCCATGCTGAGAGAGCATTCCTCATTGTGGGATGGGCAATCAAAGTCTATTTGTACACCAAGGATAAATACTACCCTAGGCCTCACAGATTACCTAGGCCTTCTAACTGACACCCACATTCAGGGGGTCTGAGCCAGCCCCTTGCTTTCCACACAGCCATCAATCTAGGGACCAAGAGGTCCTCCTTGTTCAGGTCAACTGTTTCTGTGGGTTAAATCAACCCAGTCTTAACTCCTTTGCTCATCATTTCTCCCTTTCTGTCACTGGATTCCAGGAGTTCAGTTCAGTGTTTAGCTGTGGATGTCTGCCTCTGCTTCTGTCAATCTCTGGATGAAGGTTCTGTTTCCCAGACTCTCTGCCAGTGGGATTGTATGCTGGCACTCCCCTGATTCATATCTAAAATCCATATATGAGTGAGTACATGCCATGTTTCTCTTTTTGTGACTGGGTTACCTCACTCAGGATGGTTTCTTCTAGTGCCATCCATTTCCCTGCAAATTTCAAGATTCCATTGTTTTTTTTCCCCAGCGGAATAGTACTCCATTGTATAAATGTACTACAATTTTTCTATCCACTCTTCAGGTGAGGGGCATCTAGGTTGCTTCCAGGTTCTGGCTATTACAAATAATGCTGCTATGAACATAGTGGAACAGATGTCCTTGTTGTATGAATGTGCGGCTTTTGAGTATATGCCTAAGAGTGGAATTGTTGGGTCTTGTGGTAGATTGATTGCCATTTTTCTGAGGAATCTCCATGCTGATTTCCAAAGTGGCTGTACAAATCAGCACTCTCACCAGCAGTGAAGGAGTGTTCCCCTATTTCCACATCCTCTCCAGCATAAACTGTCATTGGAGTTTTTGACGTTCTGACAGGAGTAAGATGGTATCTCAGAGTTGTTTTGATTTGCATATTCTGGATGGCTAGGGATGGTGAGCACTTTCTCAAGTGTCTCTCAGCCATTTTAGAATCCTCTATTAAGAATTCTCTATTTAGTTCTCTACCCCCACTTTTTGATTGGATCCTTTGGTGTTTTGGACACTTGCTTCTTGAGTTCTTTGTAAATTTTGGAGATCAGCCCTCTGTCAGATGTGGGGTGAGTGAATATCTTTTTCCCAATCTGTGGGTTGCCTTTTTGTCTTGTTGACTGTGTCCTTTGCCTTACAGAAGCTTCTCAGTTTCAGGAAGTCCCATTTATGAATTGTCGATCTCAGTGTCTGTGCTACTGGAGTTATGTTCAGGAAGCAGTTTCCTGTACCAATTTGTTCAAGGATACCTCCCACTTCTAACAGGTTCAGTGTGGCTGGATTTATGTTGAGGTCTTTGATCCATTTGGACTTAAATTTTGGGCATGTCGATAGACATGGATCTATCCTCATTCTTCTACATGCCAGCACCATTTGTTGAAGATGCTTTCTTTTTTCCATTGCATAGTTTTAGCTTCTTTGTCAAAGATCAGGTGTTCATATGTGTATGGGTTATTGTCAGGGTGTTCAATTAGATTCCATTTGTCTATCTAGATTTGTGCCAATATCAAGCTGTTTTCAGGACTATAGCTCTGTAATAGAGCTTGTAGTCAGGGATGGTGATGCCTCCAGATGTTGCCTTGTTGAACAGGGTTGTTTTGGCTATCCTGGGTCTTTTGTTTTTCCATATAGAGTTGAGAATTGTTCTTTAAAGGTCTGTGAAGAATTGTGTTGGTATTTTAACGGGGATTGCATTAATTCTGTATATTGCTTTCGGTAAGATTGCCATTTTTACTATGTTGATCCTACCTATCCAAGAGCATAGAATATCTTTCCATTTTCTGGTATCTTCTTTAATTTCTTTCTTTAATGACTCAAAGTTCTTGCGATATAGGTCTTTCACTTGTTTGGTTAGTGTTACCCCAAGGTATTTTATGTTGTTTGTGGCTATTGTAAAGGGTGATGTTTCTCTGATTTCTTTCTCAGCCCTTTTATCATCTGTATATAGTAGGGCTACTGATTTTCTTGAGTTGATCTTGTATCCTGCCACTTTGCTTAAGGTGTTTATCAGCTGTAAGAGTTCCCTGGTAGAGTTTTTTGGATCACTTATGTAAACTATCATATCATCTGCAAATAGTGAAAGTTTGACCTCTTCCTTTCCAATTTGTATCCCTATGATCTCCTTTTGTTGTCTTATTGCTCTAACTAGAACTTTGCGTACAATATTGAAGAGGTGTGGGGAGAGGGGACAGCCTTGTCTTGTTCCTGGTTTTAGAAGAAATGCCTTGAGTTTCTGTCCATTTAATTTGATACTGGCTGTTGGTTTGCTGTATATAGCTTCTATTATGTTAAGGTAAGTTCCTGTTATCCTGGATCTCTCTAATACCTTTATCATGGAGGGACGTTGGATTTTGTCAAAGGTTTTGTCAGCATCTAGAGAGATGATCTTGTGATTTTTGTTTCTCAGCTTGTTTATATGATGGATTACACTGATGGATTTTCAAATGTTGAACCATTCCTGCATCCTTGGAATGAAGCCTACTTGATCATGGTGGATGATTTTTCTGATGGATCCAATTTGCCAGTATTTTATTGAGTATTTTTGTGTCAATGTCCATGAGGGATATTGGCCTGAAGTTCTCTTTCTTAGTTGTTTCTTTGTGTGGCTTGGGTATCAAGGTTATTGAAGCCTCATAAAAAGAGTTTGGCAAAGACCCTTCTGCTTCTATTTCGTGGAATACTTTGAGGAGAATTGGTATAAGCTGTTCTTTGAATTTCTGGTAAAATTTCTGCACTGAGGCCATCTGGCCCTGAGCTTTTTTTGTTGGGAGGGTTTTGATGACTACTTATATTTCCTTAGGAGTTATAGGTCTATTTAAATTGCTTATCTGTTCTTGATTTAATTTTGGCAAGTGATATCTAGCCAGAAAATTGTCCATTTCCTTTAAATTTTCAGATTTTGCGGAGTACAGGTTTTTAAAGTATGACCTGATGATTCTCTGGATTTCCTCAGTGTCCATTGTTATATTACCCCTTTTTATTTCTGATTTTTGTTAATTTGCATGTTCACACTCTGCCGTTTCATAAGTTTGGATAAAGTTTTGTCTATCTTGTTGATTTTCTCAAAGAACCAACTCTTTGTTACACTGATTCTTTGTATTGTTTTCCTAGTTTCTACTTTATTGATTTCAGCTCTCAATTTGATTATTTCCTGGCATCCACTCCTCCTGGGTGAGTTTGCTTCTTTATGTTCTAGAGCTTTCAGTTGCACTCTAGTGTGACTATTCTCCAGTTTCTTCATGTGGGCACTTAGTGCTATGAACTTCCCTCATAGCACTGCTTTCAAAGTTTCCCATAAGTTTGGCTATGTTGTGTCTTCATTCTCATTGAATTCTAGGAAGTCTTTAATTTCTTTTTTAATTTTTTCTTTGACCCAGGAATGGTGTAATTGTGCATTATTCAGTTTCCATGATTTTTTTAGGGTTTCTGCAATTTGTGTTATTGTTAAATTCTAATTTTAATGCATGGTGGTCTGATAAGATGCATGGAGTTGTTCCAATTTTTTTGTACCTGTTGATGTTTGAAATGTTGCCAAGTTATGTGGTCGATTTTTGAGAAGGTTCCATGTAGCGCTGAGAAGAAGGTAAATTCTTTTTTATTTGGATGGAATGTTCTATAGATGTCTATTAACCCCAGTTGGGTCATAACTTCTATTAGTCCCTTTGCTTCTTTGTTAGTTTCTGTCTGATTGTCCTGTCAAGTGTGAAAGTGGAGTGTTGAAGTCTCCCACTATAAGTGTGTGGGGCTTTATATGTGATCTGAGTTTTAGTAATGCTTCTTTTATGAACATGGATGCCTTTGTATTTGGTGTATAGATGTTCAGAATTGAAACTTCATCTTGGTGTATTTCTCCTGTGATGAGTATGAAGTGCCCTCCTTCATCTCTTTTGACAGATTCTAGTTTAAAATCTAATTTGTTAGATATTAGGATGGCTACCCCCTCTTGTATCTTGGGTCCATTTGATTGGAAAATCTTTTCCCATCCCTTAATTCTGAGGTAATGTCTGTCTTTGAGGCTGAGGTGTGTTTCTTGTATCCAGCGGAAGGATGGGTTCTGTCTGCAAATCCATTCTGTTAGCCTGTGTCGTTTTATTGGCAAGTTAAGATCATTAATACTGAGGGATATTAATGGCCATTGATTGCTCATTCTTGTTTGTTATGGAATGGTTGATGTTGATGGAATTATATGTGG